ATTTAGCCCAATGGTTACATCAGCATTTGCTGCATGCAGGGCAAAAGACAATGTGGGCTGTAGCCCATCAGTGGAGCTTACCTTTGAACTTTGAAGAAGTTAGTAGGGCCTGGCAGGAGTGTGCAGTGTGCTCCAAAAGGGACTTACACTGAGTTCCATAGCAACATGGCATAACATCTAATAGGCCTATACCCCTCGTCAGGTGGCAGACTACATTGGGCCTCTACCTGCATCAGAAGGATATCAGTATGCCATGACTTGTGTGGAAACAGCTACTGGACTTCTGGTTGCTTTTCCTACCCATTCTGCAGACCAGCAGATGATCAAAAGAGGCCTGGAGCATCTCTTTGCTGCCTATGGCCAACCACAGGTAATTGAGAGTGATCAGGGCACCCATTTTACTGGACATACACTGCAAGAATGGGTACAACAGCTGGGAATCAAATGGAAGTTTCATGTTCCATACAATCCTACCGCAGCAGGCATGATAGAGAGGCACAATGGCTTGTTAAAATCTGGACTAAAGTCAGATACCAATAGTCTGCGGGGATGATCAGTGTGCTTATGGACCGTGCTACAGCGTTTGAATGAGAGACCCTGAAAAGGCGCCCTGAGCCCTGTAGACATGTTAACACAAATAGCTGCCTCCCACACATAACTGCAAGTACAAACCAAGGAAGAATCACTGAAGCTGAGGTTTAGCCACCAGAATAACATCTTGCTGCCAACACCAACTGCACTGAACCCCAGAGATTCCACTGAGTGGACGTAGCCTTGGACGTTTCAACATATGGAACAACAATGGCTAGCTCTCCTGGCACCTTGGGAACAAGGCATGATAGCTGGCCTCCTGTGTATTCCTGGAATAACAGCAGAGTGGCCCCCGAAGGTAACGGTAGTATATCCTGAACGGCCAGAAGGTAGGAGCATCTTACCGGGGAGTTTTGTTTTATCACCATTTCCAGTGCATGCACCTCCAGTAGCACTATAGATAGACCCTTCAGTAACCCCCATGGGGAAAGGAGTTAAAGTTTGGTATACTAGACCTGGAAGGGACTCCTTTCTTGCTACAGTCCTATCAAAGGACCACTCTCTTGCATGCATCCTACCTGATGGACAAGATTTGCCTATGTTGGTGGCATTAAAAAGTGTGTCCTATCACCCCTCAAGTCTTTGTGGATTGGAAACTTCCTCTGGTTTGAGGATTATTATGATTTTTGTTACCTATATCAAAATCTTGCTGTATCTCAATTTTTATTATCTCTAAGTTGTTGTTATCCTCCGTTGCTATTGTGGAATCTGGTTACACTGCTCCACCTTTCTTGCACAGGGACCTTTGCGGAACATTAAAAGTGTGTAGATTGTAAGGCGAGAATCCTGGATGGGTGGAGTGTGGGGAAGTTGGGGTTCCTATGGCAAGGATCCTCACAGAACTTAAACCACCTGATGATGTAACTGGCCTGTTGCTAGGCTACTGCTTCCACACCTTTAGGCAATAAGCTATTATTGCGCTATATAGAGAGTTCGGCCCCGTGCTCTGGGCAGAGGCAGAGATGCTAGTGCTCGACCTGCCGCCGGGAGAACAAGCTGGGTAATAAACTCTTTTGCTCCGAAGAGCGTTTTGCTGTCAATTTCTTTGGTCACATTGAATCCATAGGGAACTTGCCTGGGGCTGAAACCCATTGGCAAGACACTTGGTATGTGTTTAATGGCCACGTGAAAATAATGTATTTTCTGCTGTTGTTAGTGAAGTATTCTATAAATGTTGATCAGATCTTGTTTGTTGATGGTGACTTTTAATTCTTCTACATAATTTCTGATTTTCTGTCCAGTTGCTCTTTCAGCTTTTTGAAGAGGGGTGTTAAAGTCTCCAAGTATACTTGGATTTTTCTATTTCTCATTTCAGCTGTATAAATTTTTCTATTTGACTGAAGTTCTGTTGTTTGGTGCATAAACATTTAGGATTGCTATGTCTTCATGAACACTTTTAGAATTTCAATTTGATTTATCTACAGTGTTTCTGAGTGCAGCTCTTCATATAGATTTTTAGTGGTTGCTTTAGATACTACATTGTATATACATTACTTATCATAGGCTATTAGTGTCAATATTCAAATACTGGTATTCACCTATTTGTTGAAATGTACAAACCTTACCTCCCTGATGTTCTTTATGCTCTCTCTTTTATAATACAATTGTCTTAAGTATTTCCTCCAAATACATAGAGAACACTAGACCATATTATAATTTTCGCTTTACCTCAATGAAGCTGTAAATCTTTGCTTTACCCATAAAACAAAATTGAGAAAACTTAAGAGAAGGAAAGTCTATTTAATTTGCCTATAATTTTGCTCTTCCTCATGTTCCTCCTTCCTTATATTCCAAGATTCCTTCTTTTATTATATTATATCCTTTCTCTTTAGAGAAATTCCTTTAGCCATTCTTTTAGGATAAGTCTATTTGTAACAAATTCACTTAGTCTTCTGCTATTTGGATTGCATAATTTCTGTAATTCAAGATCACTATTTCCTCTGTCCCCTCCATTCTCTTTTTTTTCTTAATCCTCATTATCTGCTAACCTACTATATATTTTACTTACTTTGAATAATACTTTTCTATTCCTTTAGAATATCAGTTCCATGAGGAATGTATCTCCAGTGCCTAAAACAATACCTGGCAAATACTGCCTACTCAATACATAGTTGTTGAATGAATCAATCAGTTAATCACTAAATGACTTCTGGGCAAGGTTCAGGAAATTACATCCCACAGGCCTGCTGCTTGTTTTGTAAGTAGTTTATTGGAACATTCACTTGTTTACATGTTGTTTATGGTTGCTTTACAAGCCAAGGTGTCACACATCTATGACCTGCAAAGCCTAAAATAGTTACTATATGGTTCCTTAAAAAAAATTTGCCAAACCCTGCTTTAGATTCAGAGTCAACTACTTCATAGATATTGCTATCTGGATATCTTTCAGGAATCTCACATCCAACCTGCTCTGAACTGAGCTTTTCTCCCTCTCCATCATACTTTCCCATACTGTATTTCTTACATGTATGAAAGACATCCCCATCCATCCAACCAAGTAAAGAAAATCAAGGAATCAGACATTTTCCTCTCCCATATTTTCCACTTCCAATTACCAAATCCTACTGCTTTTGCTTCCCTGTTCTTCTTCCAACTACAATTATTTATTGCTCAGAATATGACACTACTCTCTGTATGATCTATCCTTCACACTACAACCAAGATAATGTCTCCTGAATGTACAGCTACCCACCATACTGCTCTTCCTTTAAGCAATGATTTTCCAAACCTACAGGAACAATTCCAAACATTCCAAACTCCTCAACTAATCAGAGTCTAGCCCTTTTAGCATTTGTCCCCTCTCTGCCTCCAGTGAAATCTGCTTCCACTCCTACTTCCATTTCATGTTCCAACAATACCACATGGCTTGGGATTTTAGGCCCTTGGGCCTTCGTACATGTCAGACCATCTCTTTGAAATTTCCTTTCCATAATCCCCCTTCTGTCCACCTTCAGCATTGACTTCAGAGATTGTACTTCTCTGCAAGTTTTCATCCTTGATCATCCGAAAATACCCTCTGTATACCAATAATATTGGTACCAATAATACCAATCATTGGCAAGGCAGCACTGCATAGTGATTAAGTACTTCAACTCTGAGTGAGGCTATTTGGATTTATATCCCACCTCTGTCACTAACTAAATGGCCTTGGGCATGTGGCTGTCACAGTATATATTTATTATCATCTTCACATTTCAGCTGAAAAAAATGACTATCAGATAAGTCAAATATTTGATGTAACAGATAATATGACATAGAATGTCAGTTGTGCTCCAATATGCATTCCTCCCTTTTAGTAAAAGATGATTTAGCTGAGCAAATGACTGCACCAATAAAAACTATACTTCCCTACCTCTCTTGTAGCTATATGTGACCATGAGATTAAATTTTGAAGTGGTATATAAATGAAAATGATATGTATGGCTTCCAGGTCATGGCCTTAAAGGAAAGGATTGTATCCTCCACTTCTCTTTCTTTCATCCTTATAACTGGTATAACATAGAAGGTATTTTGTCATATAGATGAAGTAGCACCTTAGGGATGACAGAGCAACAAGAATGAAGGAACCTGGGTTCCTGACCCTGTAAAGTCACCATACCAACCCTAGACCATCTTGCTGGACTACTCCACATCCATGAAATAAATGTCTCTTGTCTTACAGCTACTATGTTTGTATGTAGAGTCTTAGCAGCCTAACCTGTATCCCACCTTATACAGTTAGTAAGTGCAGAGCTTGGATTTGAACTGTGGATACCACCTGGACTGTATCATCAGTCCCCTCCTCCTGAAGACAAGTTTTATTGACTTGTACTTTGGTTGGATGGCATTAGTTGTTAGAAAGCTTAGAGCTAAATGCAGGGCCATCTGTAGCAAGTGTATAGGACTTAACAATAAATATTTCTTGTCTACCTCATTCCTGGATTCATTTTGTTTCTATCCTTATTTTTCCTTTTTCACTGACCTAATTATAATATATGCTACCTCATATTTTATAAACCACGTAAATATACCACCTTAAATTCTTTTGGAATGAGAGGGGGTTTAAGTAAGTAGAGGTATTGCTTTCTTTATGGTTTCACTGTACATACACTACTTTTATACCTGTCATTTTCCTTTGCTTACATGGGTATTTATATTTTATACTGTTAACTCCTTAAATTCTTGACAGTGATTTTTCTGTTTCTCCTATACCATCAACATGGTGCCTGATAATAAAATAGTTACAGGATCATGCAATATTTGCTGAGAGAATGAATTTTATAGGGTGAGAAATGCTATTAAATGTCAATGTGTCATAATGGAATTTTCTTCCATTATCACCTTAAGCCAGGGAGACACAACTCCAAAAATTGGTCAGGGGAAAGTGTCATATGTTTGGAGGAGTGATAGTGAGGACAGGAAATACATACCTTGACAAAGTGCTCGATTAGGATTTCTACCACAATGTTCTGGAATTTGATGTTCATCATGGCAGCAACTGTGTCCTCCTGAGCTCTCATCAGGGTGGGCCCAAAGATCACCCCCATGTTGGAGGGGGTCATAAGATTCTCTTTGCTGTGCTCACACACACTGCCAGAAGAGAAAGAAAATGATTAACAAGATTTTCTCCAAAACCCCCTTGTAACTAAGGCTGTGTTAGGTGCTATAGATGGTATGAGAAACTGAAAAGGAGAAGGGAAGGAGAGGCCCAAAATCTGTATGGGAAGAAAAGATTACAAAGGAAACAAGTAAAGAATACAAGAGAGTATATAAATGGGGGTCCAAGTGATACACAGCTAACGTATATATATGTATATATATATATATAATATATCTATCATATGTATAAATTCAACCATTTAAATTTGAACATTTAATTGACTTTATTAAATAGTTCATGATAAATAGAGCAGAACTCCTTTAGCAAATACAATGTGCTCCAACTTGCTACAGAAAAGAAAGGTTTTTAAAGGCAAAGAGAGCATTAAAAAAAAAGGAATCCATTAGCAAGGAATGAATTCTTTAGACAATATTGTCCACCTAAAGGGAAAAGGTTTCCGGGGGATTATCTCCTGAAAACTACAGTTTGGCTGGGAAAAGGTTACATTTCTAAAGGGTCTGAAACTGTAATTAGGCTTAGTATTAAATCTTGATTTTTGGGAGCCCCAACTTTAAGTGACCCTATTATAGGCCTGAGATTTTTCTTTTTAACACTTACTTAGTAACACTGCAGGAGTTAAGAGAGGGGGCTACATTTAGAAAGTATTTAGAAGACAAGAAGGAAGCAAGACAACATTCCAGCCAAAGGTATAACATGTATAAACCATATATAAAAAGGAAAAAAGCACACAAAATACCTACCTGTTACACCAGTCAGCAATCTAGCGACTTCCCCCTGTAAATTACAGAAGCAAGAAAACCGAAAGAGCTGAAAGGGGGTCTTTAAGATTAGCTCTTTATCATTGTCCTCATTTACAGATGAAAAAACAGTGGTCCAAAGAAGGAAAGTGATTCACCTAGTGTCAGAATCAGTTAGCCTGATTAGAATAGTGCCGGTAATCCTGAATTTTCTTATCCCTAGTCACTCTCCTTGATTAAATTCCCTTTTGTGGTGTTAAAAAAAGAAACAAGCCCAAATGGAGACTTTTACCCCTCCCCCCAATCAAGACATAGTTTCAAACTAGTCTAGGAATGTGACTTTAACAATCAATCAAGAATTTTCTGGTCAACACCAATGAGTTAATCTGTCAGCTGGCCCTCTCCATCCCCCACAATAAAATGAGGTAATCTTCATAAGACCTCCCCATCCCACCCCCCCATCTTTTCCTCTCCATAAGAGAGGATGACCTTGCTGGAAACAATCCTTTCTTTTGGTAGTAACTTCTTGCCCCACCCTCCTTCCTAAAAAAAACTTCCATTTTATACAATTCCACAGAGCCTCCCTACTTGCTACATAGATGCTGCGTGATTCATAAATCACTTAATAAAACCAATTAGTTCTTCAAACTTACTTGGTTGAATTTTCTTTAACAGTGGCCTGCTATCACTTATAGGACAGGATCAATTCTCTTCAAAGTAGCAACTCAATGCCTATTTCTAATCCCAAAGCACAGTTTAGGCACTGTAGCTGCCCTGGGTTTGAATCCCAATACTGCCACTCATTAACTATGCAACAATGAGTGTTAGTAACCTAACTTCTCTGGGCTTCAGTTTTCTCACTTGCAAAAATAGTATCCACTTCAGAGAGTTGTTGAAGAGAGTTAAATTGTTTTAGCATGGCATCCTATAAATAAATATTCAATTAGAAGTATCTGCTGTTATTATTAACTCTTCAGAAACCTCCATCTAGGTACTGCTTGTTACCCAGTGTAATGCCTACATGTCTTAGTTGAACTTTCATGCCACATTAACTCTGCTTATCTTTAAGAAACATGATGACTGCAGTCAGGAGTTCCCCCTGTGATCAAACTGGCTGAAACTGGTGAGAGTCAACATGGTGGCTCACTTGACCTCAAAAGAACCTCCAACATGACTGTAATGCACTTCACATACTAAACGACACACTCACTGAGATAGGCAGGGAAATGGAAAAGGGTAATGCCACTGTAAAATCTACATAGCCTTTGAAAAAGGCGCAACTTATTCTTTTATTTTTTATTTTTTTATTTTTTTCAAGTATCATTGATATACAATCTTACGGTTTCACATAAAAAACACTATCATGGTTTTCAACATTCACCCATATTATCAAGTCCTCACTCCCCCATTGCAATCACTGTCTATCAACATAGTAAGATGTTATAGAGTCATTGTCTTTTCTGTGCTGTATTGCCTTCCCCATGACCTACCTATATTATGTTTGTGAATTGTAGTGCCCCTTAATCCTGTTCTACCTCCCCACCCACACGGCCCCACCCCTTTGGTAACCATAAATCCCTTCTCAGTGTCTGTGAGTCTACTGCTATTTTGTTCCTTCTGTTTTGCTTTGTTTTTACACAAGTAAGTGAAATCATATGGTATTTGTCTTTCCCTGCCTGGCTAATTTCATCGAGCATTACCTTCTAGATTCATCCAGGCTAATTTCATTGAGCATAATACCTTCTAGATTCATTCATGTTGTTGTAAGTAGTAGGATTTCTCTCCCTTTTATGGATGAATATTCCATTATGTATACACACCACTTCTTTATCCATTCATCTATTGATGGACACTCAGGTTGCTTCCATATCTTGGCTATTGTAAACAGTTCCACAATAAATATAGGGGTGCATATGTCTTTTCGAATCAGAGATCTTGTTTTCTTTGGGTAAATTCTTAGGAGTGGAGTTACTGGGTCAAATAGTATTTCTATTTTTAGTTTTCTGAGGAACCTCCATATTGCTTTCCACAATGGTTGAACCAATTTACATTCCCACCAACAGTGGGGAGAGTGTAGGAGGGTTCCCCATTCTCCACATCCTTGCCAGCATTTGTTGTTTCTTGTTTTTCGGATAGTGGCCACTGTAACTGGTGTGAGATGATATCTCATTGTGGTTTTAATTTGCATTTCCGTGATGATTAGCGATTTGCAGCATCTTTTCATGTGCCTGTTAGCGATCCGCATTTCTCCTTTAGGTAACTGTCTGTTCAGATCCTCTGCCCATTTTTCAATCAGGTTATTTATTTTTGGGGTGTTGAGGTGTGCAAGTTCCTTATATATTTTGGATGTTAACCCCTTATTAAATAAATTGCTCACAAATACACTCTCCCATACTGCAGGATGCCTTTTGGTTCTACTGATGGTGTCCTTTGCATACAGAAACTTTTTTGTCTGATGTAGTACCACTGTTCATTTTTTATTTTGTTTCAATTGCCCAAGGATATGTGTTCAGGAAAAAGTCACTCATGTTTATATTCAAGAGACTTTTGCCTGTTTTCTTCTAAGAGTTTTACGGTTTCACGACTGACATTCAGGTCTTTGATCAATCTCGAATTTACTTTTGTGTATGGAGTTAGACAAAATCCAGTTTCATTCTCTTACATGTAGTTGTCCAGTTTTCCCAGCACTAGTTGTTAAATATGCTGCCTTTTCCCCATTGTATATCCATGGCTAATTTCTCATATATTAATTGTCCATATATGTGTGTGTTTTTATCTGGTCTCTCTATTCTATTCCACTGATCTATGGGTTTATTCTTGTGCCAGTACAAAATTATTTTGATTACTGTAGCTTCGTAGAAGAGCTTGAAGTCAAGGAACATAATCCCCCACCTTTGTTCTTTTTAGGATTGCTTTGTCTATTCGGGGTCTTTTGTGGTTCCATAGGAATTTTAGAACTATTTGTTCTAATTCATTGAAGAATACTGTTGGTATTTTGATAGGATTTGCATTGACTCTGTAGACTACTTTAGGCAAGATGGCCATTTTGACAATATTAATTCTTTCTATCTATGAGCATGGTATAGATTTCCATTTATTGGTGTCTTCTTTAATTTCTCTCATGTCTTGTAGTTTTAAGAGTATAAGTCTTTTGCTTCCTTGGTTGGGTATATTCTTAGGTATTTTACTCTTGGATGCAGTTGCAAATAGAGCTGTTTTCTTGATTTCTCTTTCTGCTAATTTGTTGTTAATATATAGGAATGCAACAGATTTCTGTGTATTAATTTTGTATCCTGGAACTCTCCTGAATTCAGTTATTAGTTTTAGTAGTTTTTTGGTGAAGTTTTTTGAGTATTTTATGTACAGTATCATGTCATCTGCAAACAGTGACAGTTTGACTTCTTCTTTACCAATATGGATGCCTTGTATTTCTTGGTTTTGTCTGATTGCTGTGGGTAGGACCTCCAGTACTATGTTGAATAACAGTGGGGGAGAGTGGGCATCCTTGTCTTGTTTCCGATCTTAGAAGAAAAGCCTTCAGCTTTTCACTGTTAAGTATGATGTTGGCTGTGGGTTTGTCATATATGGCCTTTATTATGTTGAGGTACTTATCCTCTATACCATTTTGTCGAGAGTTTTTATCATGAGTGGATGTTGAATTTCGTCAAATGTTTTTGAGCATCTATTGAGATGATTCTGTGATTTTTTGTCCTTCTTTATGTTGATGTGGTGTATGATGTTGATTGATTCACATATACTATACTATCCTTCAGTCCCTGGAATAAATCTCACTTAGTCATGATGAATGATCTTTTTAATGTATTTTAGAATTTGGTTTGCAACTATTTTGTTAAGGTTTTTTGCATGTATGTTCATCAGGGATATTGGTCTATAATTTCCTTTTTTTGTGGTGTCTTTTTCTGGTTTTGGTATTAGAGTGATAGAGTGAGTAGAATACTCACTCAAACATCATAGAATGAGTTTGGAAGTACTCCCTCTTCTTCTACTATTTGGAATACTTTAAGAAAGATGGGTATTAGCTCTTCTTTAAATGGCTGATAAAATTCAGCTGTAAAGCCATCTGGAACAGGTTTTGTTCTTAGGTAGTTTTTTGATTGCCAGTTTGATTTCATTGCTAGTAATTGATCTGATCAGATTTTTCATTTCTCCATGGGTCACTCATAGAAGGTTGTATTTTTCTAGAAAGTTTTCCATTTCTTCTATGTTGTCCA